AGCTCTTAGTCTGCAGCAGCAGGAGTTACAAACCAATTTCTGGTAGCTACAGTACTAAGTATCATATCATGCCTACAAGTCATTATGAAAAGAAAAATGAAAGAATGCCTTTCCCTCCAGATAAAAAAAAATTTAATAAAACAATTGAGGAAAAATAGCACTAAATCTAAAATGATTTGCAAAAGAATATTATGTAATAAGTGGCTTGAAGTTAAAATACAAGGTTTCAAATTTTATTTCTTTGATTTAGCTTATGCATTTTTTCTCTTATCCTGCAAATCTTGGTTTCTAATGTCATTAACATGATTGCTTATGTTGTATTCATTTCAGAATAGCAATATCAATATTATTAGTAACAATATGGTAACTAATACAGTTTACTTTTTCTTTCTTTTTTTTGTTTATTTTATAGCTTTTCTTTATGTTATATTCTACTGGGCATATATAGTGAAATTACTCTGTTTTAAAGTAACTTGAAATAGTTTTCTGTGGTTAAGTCACTAATCTATTTACACAGTCATGTTCATTTGCTTCATTTTGGCTTCATTTATTTAGAACTAGCTTTGTCTTTTATTTCTATTTAGTCTTGTTTTATGACTTTACACAACATTTATGTAACCCCAAAGTCAAATTACAAAACAATAAAGATACTTAAGAGAGAAAGTCTAACTCCCAATTATCCCTCCTACACTTTAGATAATAATTTTGTTAATTTTTGGTTTATCTCTACATTTAAAAATATAAGCATACATGTGAATGTACATAAATATGTATCTACCTACCTATTTACCTCCCTTCTTTCTTAAATAAAAGGTAATAAACTACATACATTTTTGTGCACCTTTTTTTTTTTGCTTAACAAGAGCTCCTGGATATCCTTCCATAGCAATATATAGAGATCTTCCCAATGCTTGTATATAGCTGTTCATTACATACCATACTTCATTCAACCATTTTTTTGTTCCAGGAATTCCTCAATTCTTCTGGAGATGCTGATGGTATTCTTTCTTAACATATTTTCTTATATAATACATACATAGAGAGAGAGACAGAGGGAGAGAGACAGAGAGGAAAGTATGAAAAGAGGCATGGAGGACATCTGGAAAGTTCAACATCTGCCTAAAAGGCATTTTATTATAAGAAAATATAGAAAAATAAACAAAAGAAAATAGTCAAAGTTAAAAGAGAAATTCCCAGAGCTGAAGAAAGACTCACATTTTCAAACTGTAAAGGATCAGAGTGTATCAAACCTGGTAAATGAAAAAAAGACCCATATTTGGATGCAAACTGTTTAAATGTCAAAACTTTAAAGAAAAAGCCAAACCTTAAAGTCAAGTAAAAAAAAAATATTGTCTGTAAAAGAATAAAAATAGATTGAAATTGTATTTTTGTGGATAAAAATTTACTAATAAACCTTTGCAGTTCTTAGGTTACTACTCAGTTAAAATTGTTTTTATATATTTAGTTTCTGTTTGCATTTCCTCTCTGTGAACAGGTTTTCCTTTTGTTGACTTTTTAAATGCACTTTATGATTTTCTCATCAATTTATTGGAATTCTTTATATATAAGGAAAAATTGCTAAGATTTTCTGTTGTTGCAAATATATCCCTAGTTTGTTATACACTTTTGAATTATATCTAAAATTCAAGTTATATATTTATCTTTAAAAAAACACCGAGGGGCACCTGGGTGGCTCAGTCGGTTGGGCATCCAATTCTTTAGTTCAGTTCAAGTCATGATCTCAAGGTTGTGGAATTGAGCCCTGCATCAGTCTCTCAGCTGGGTGTGGAGGCCGCTTAAGACTATCTCTCTCCCTCTCCTTCTGCCCCATCCACCCCCACGCCGACTCACACTCACTCTTTCGCTCTTTCTCTAAAATAAATACATAAATAAATAATAAATAAATAAATAATAAAAATCTAAAAAACACTCTTTTATTTTTTCTATTATTTTTATTTAGATAAAATGTTTTCATCTAGAGACCAAATACTCATTTTTTTATTTTTATTTTAAATTTCTTATGCTTTGTTTTTTAATTCAGGTTTTAAATTAATTTTCAATTTATTTTGGTGTACAGAGAATTTACTTTTCACAAACAGCCAATTTTCTCACTGAATTTAATAAACACTCATCTTTGGTTTATAGTATTTCCTTTATCATATATTAATTTCATAAAAACATGCATACAGTAAATCTATTTCTAAGCTCTCTATTTTGACCCATTAATCTATTTTTATACCAATCATTTAAATTATAGTAGCTCTATAATACAATGCAATTTCTAATATCTTATAGGACAAAGCTATAAACATCTCATATTATAATGAAAACGTGTTAAAAACACATTGTCAGGGCGCCTGGGTGGCTCAGTTGGTTAAGCGACTGCCTTCGGCTCAGGTCATGATCCTGGAGTCCCGGGATCGAGTCCCGCATCGGGCTACCTGCTCAGCAGGGAGTCTGCTTCTCCCTCTCCCACTCCCCCCTCTTGTGCTCTTTCTCTCTCTCCCTCTCTCTCTCAAATAAATAAATAAAATCTTAAAAAAAAAAAAAACAACACATTGTCAAATGGCACTTCTAGACCTCAGTGGTCTTAATAGGAGATTTCTATCTTAGTAACAGGCCTCTGAAACACCCTTGACTAAGATGTTTATTATCACAATGGTCACAGTAGTTAAGCCACTATTATAAAAGGATGAAAACAAAAGTGGCTTTACTTTCCAGGATGTGTGATTATATCTGGTGGAGGACTATGCAAGATATAACAAATGGTCAATGCCCCTTCACACACACCCTAATGGGATTTTCTTTTAAAAGCATTCTTTTGTGCTTCTACTCAGAAACATTGACCTCGAACTCAGTTGTCGCTTCTCTGGTTTGTTCCACTTGGAAATGAAGCTCTCACTTCGGTTTCGGGGCCATATGCCTATGCACAGACTGCTGGTAAAACTGTGGCATTCTGCCTCCAGACCCTGAAAGGCCAACGTGAAGCATCAGAGCTCACATCTGCAAGGGCAGAGGGAAGGCTGCTGCACATTTGTCATGTAACTCTGATTTTCCTGGAAACATGACATGGCATTGGGATGAATGAAATATTGATACGACATATTTATTTATTTATTTATTTATTTAAAGCTCTCGGAATGATTCTGATATGCACCACAATTCTCTAGCCCTTTGCTATTCAAAAGAATCATTGAAAGACCAGTGGCATCAGCATTACCTGGGAAGTTAGGGAGAAATGCAGAGTCTCAGGCCCCGGCTCAAGTCCTATTGAATCACACTCTGCATGTTAACAAATCTGCAGGGGATTTATGTATACATTAAGGTTTGCAAAGCACAGCTTGGTCCAACCAGTTTAGATCCCTATTCTGGGCTATATTATAGCTGTGATCGAATCATTTGGAGAGTGACTGAATTTCAGTCAAGAGGGTGAATTTCAAACCAAGAGGGTGAATTTCAAATAACGAGCCTGAGTGAAAGAAGCTAGACCCCCTCCCCCCCAAAAAAGTACATGCTAGAGGATTCTTTTTATATAAAATTCTAAGAAATGCAAATGAATTTACAGTGACAGAACGCAGATTAATGGTTCCCTGGCAGGAGTGGGAGGTCAGAGAGAGAATCCAGAGGGAGGAATTACAAAGGGACACAAGAAATTTTTGCAGTGATGGATATGTTTATTATTTTGATTGTGAAATTGCACACCTTAAATGGGTGCAGTTTATTGGACATTAGTGTCTGTGTAAATGTGAGTGTGTGTGTGTTTACAGTTGCAAAAAACCAGGCAAGTAGTAGGCAAGAGGTAGAGAATAGAAAGAGGAAGATATAACAAAGTACTGGGGAGGAGATAAGACCAAGTACTCTCCAATCTTTCAATGATTCTTTTGAATAGCAAAGGGCTAGAGAATTGTGGTGCATATCAGAATCATTGGAGAGCTTTAAATAAATAAATAAATATAAATAAATAAAATTAAAAAGAAAAAACAAACAAACACTTGATACCTGGATCTTGGCCCCAGGCCCCAGAAACTCTTATTTAATCAATCTAGAGTTCAGTCCAGGTGGAATTAGAAGTTTTTAAATCTACCCAGATGCTTCTAATGTGCAGCCAAGGTTGACACTACTCCAAAAAAGAGTGATAAAAGTCTTACCATGGAATGAGGAGGAAAGAACACTGCAAAGGTAACAGGGAGCCAGAGAAACATAATAAACCATGTCCCCAGTCAGAATCAAACGTGTCCCTGTTCCAAACATGCAAATTTACCGGAGTGTGATTTATACCTGTGTGGTCCTGCCTTTGTTGGTGATACTTTTGCTGCTTTCATACCTGGCCTGAGAATAAGTATCAGGCTAATTACTAAGCAGGCAGATGGGGAGCGTGACCTTCCTGAGATTATAGCCACAGGGAAGAAAAGTCCTCACAGTGGAGGAAGCTGATTCGGGAGACTGGTCGGACACATACTTACCAACATATCCACAAGGATTGTTCATTGATAGGAGACGACCCCCAGCCTGCCTCCTCCTGTCCATGATGCGCCACACACCAGGCAGGACAGACCATGCTGCATTCTTCTAATACATCCCAGACTTGTTTTAAAAATCATTTCAGTTCGGCTAGTTTTCTATTAATGTTAATAGCTTGGAAATTATTTTTTGATCTGTGTTACAGATTTGTATCTGCATCACAGAATTCTGATTCTGAAACTACCGATGTCCCAGAATCCTAAAAATGTTTAATGAGACATGTCAATTTAATTGTGCTACTTGGAACTTAAAAGGCCAGAGTTTGTCAGCATTTTGCTGACAAATGTCATCCTTTACATGCTGATCTTTGCTACCGATTAGGTTCACCATTTCTGAAATTACCTATCAGGAAATGAGCTCTCTTTAGTGAAACAAAAGACATTTTTTTTTTCATTTAGTTAATTAAAATGCAGCTTAGGACCAGAACAAACTTTCGAGTCTGGTTTGGTAATGGTCATTATGTTTAAATTCTGATACAGAGGATGCTGTATACCTGGATGATGATAAAGAAAGAGAAGAGTATATCCTGAATGACATCGGGGTTATTTTTTATGGAGACTTCAATGACATCAAGAGTAGAAGCTGGAGTTATGGTCAGGTGAGCCATTTAATATTTGTCATTGTCAAGGACATTTTTCCTTAATATTTTTTTGTCACATGTATCACTACAAGGTGCCATATGTCAATATTAGACATGCACAATTTCCTGCTTTTCAGAATCTGAGACTCCAAGACAGACAGCCCAGGAGTAGAGACTTAGAAAGGCAACTACATAATTTATCCACTGAAAGCACATATCTTCAGGTATTACAAGGTTACGGAGATCAGAGATTCTATGGATAATGTGGCATTCTAGTGAGAAATGCTTGACATCCAGTACAGTGAAATCTCATTAGCTCAGACATTGTTCTTCAACATGGAATGGACTGAAGTTTTCCCTTTCTTATAAGGAAAAGTGTTTTGATAATACTGCAAAGGATACTACAAGGCGTGTGGTCAACTCAAATAAATCACCTTTTTTGTTAGTATAAGATACTAGAAAATTAGAAATTAGAATTAGAAAAGAATGTCACCATTTCATCAAAGGAGGGCCCACTAGACTTTTACCTGGAGACATTTTATCAACTACAATCTTATAACACACTGTCTGGGTATAAAATAGCAAATGGTATTCCATTTAAGATATTCAATAATTCACACTATTTCAGTTTGGTATCTCTAACAATGGAAGAAGTGACTGATATTTCTACCATATTCCCATAAGAAGGCATGTCCTGTGGTTCAGCAAGACCCTTCATTAGCAACATGAGAAAAGTTGAGTATGTCATTTCTCAGAATTTGGCTGAGATGACTGGAATTGTGCACCATTGTTCTGGGTATATGGGAGGGTAGATTTCATGGAACCTGGCTTCGCCAGGTCACATGATACTTTCTTGGTTTCTGATACCTTCTTTTGACTTCCATGTGAGCTTTCCCTGCATCCCTTACCCCTGCTCCAGCCTGGCCACTGGGATCAATGTCATCAATAGTTCTTGTCTTGTCTGCCTGACTTCATGACCCACTTCTTCACCCAGACTCCTGAGAATTGTGTGCCCAGTGCTGAGACTTACTCACCTGCACTTCTGATGTCCTGCCAAGCTAATCATATGTGTGCTCTTCTCCTGTTTTTGGATCCCCACCTGGCTCCTTGGTTACAAGCCCTCCCTTCCTGAGTGACATACAGCCCACGATATTGCCTATTGTCTAGTGCCTTAATTCCTAATGTTTGGGTGAGATTCTATTTATATCCCCGAAGTGACATTATGTAGAGATCAATAAGGAAAAAAGTCACCAAGGTGGGTAACAGGGAAGAGTTGGAAAGAGTCCCAAGCATGATCAGGGTATTCCTCAGCCAGCATGCTGAGTAGCCTTTGGGTAGACACCCTTGAGCACAGCCACCATCTGTCTCTGTTGTCATTCAGAGTCCATTAATTTGGGTCTTTCAGTCCAAACAACCAGCCAAGCCAGTAGTTTGCAATGATGCAGGGAAACAACTAGTTCTGTGACTATTTCTTACCTCTCCAGTTCACTACTTCATGTCCCACAGACTGAGAAATGATGCTTAATAAGAACCAGAATAATGAGTTCTTTACATATCTGAAGAACTAGTGCCCTTACTTTACAGCATGCATCCTATCAGTTTAGGGTTCCCAGAAAGTTGATATTTTAACTAGACTTAATAAAGAACTACACAGTAATTAGCCGTTAAGATTGTGGTTTCTGTCACAAGTACTTGGATGGATATGCAAAGTGTTTGTATTGAGGGACATCTCTTGTTCAGTGAGGTGCATTCTAGGTGAAATTTCCCCATTTTGCCATTTGATTACCATTTTGCCCTTGTTCCTTTCTTTAAAAAAAAAAATTCTGGTGTTGCATGGGGCCAGTAGTTCTTTCTAAGGAAATTGAACTATAAACAGCCTCCCATGCTGCTCTCTGTAAGGGATCTTGAAACATCTTTAAGAACAGAGAGATCCTGCAATGGAACTGACTTCGAGGCTGTTCCCTTGATAATGTAATCTTTCTCTAGGCCTTCCTGCCCTCTCTTTGACCCTGGAGTCTACCTTGTTCTAAAAGAGGAGAAACCTTGGACAAGCATTCATGACACGAGGTGTCCTACTGTTACCAGTGCAAGGTGTACAGGCCTGAAATACATCCCTGTGATAACCTGAGAGCCATTTATTTTTGAGATGCACAAGCATTTGTGTTACTTTTGAGGTCTCAAGACTTTGGCCTGAGTTTGGTACATTGTTTATTCCTTTGCCTTGGGCACTAGAGCCCACATGTTGGAGAAATCTAAATTAATTTACACAATTTTCTGAAGAACTTCAAGTCAGTTCAGGATCCTTGAGTATACTAGCTCTCCAGTAGTTCTGTTTATGTTTCTAGCTTGCTTTTTAAGTTTTTATCCATCTTACTGAAAAACAAAAGAGGATGTCTTCTTCCTTCTACTTTTAACATTTCATACTAAAGATTATGGGTGATTACTATATAGGAAACACATATCCTAAACATTAGGTTGTGCTTTCATTTTGTTTTTTTTGGCAGGGAATATTGGGCTTGCAGAGTGGACATTAAGTAGTTTCTCTTTTATTTTTTTCATCTTTTTCATTTTATATTTTATTTTTTATTTTTTCCCAAATAGTTTGAGAATGGCATCCTTGACGCTTGTCTGTATGTGATGGACAAAGCACAAATGGACCTTTCTGGTAGAGCGAATCCCATCAAAGTCAGCCGTGTTGGGTCTGCAATGGTAAGCAACTACTGACTCCTTATGTTGATTACACATGTCATTTGCCTCATTATAGATGCCAGTTCATTAAGAGCTGTTGAAATGATGACTTAAACTTTTATATATAAGAGTCTTGAATTCCCTGAACTTGTCAAGTGTTATAAAACAAAATCTTATCTCAGTGCTGTATGTTTCTTTAGCTTCAGACAAATGGTGATAGATAACATGATACTATAGACCACTTATTCTTAGAATCTCTTGCCTAGGGACTGAGGAGTGACCATGACAAAATGTCAATGACTATAATCTATCAATCAAACAAGCATCAAGAAGCATCAGAAAAAGAGGGGAAAAAAGGAGCAAGACACAGCTTTTCTCCATTTTCACACCCATGTAAAAGTAAAGAAATAAATGACTCTAAATCCTAGCTTCTGTTATAATGATACCTCACCATAGGGCTTTCTAGTTTATGAAAGTTAGTTTAGCCTATAGTTTGTAATTCATTCTTCACATTAACTGCATGAGATAAGTAGGGCAGATATTATGCATGCCATTTTACAAGTTAGGAAACAGGGTGATAACAGTTTGTCAGTGACAAAGCCTCAGCTAGACCCCAGGTCTGCAGACTCCCAATCTAGACATTTCCTGCCTCCCATGCGGCTCTCTATAGAAGATCCTGAAACATCTTCAAGAATGCAGAGATCCTGCAATGGAACAGCTTCTAGGAGAGGAGACAGAATTATCATGAATAGGAAGGTTGGGGGTCAGGCGGCGAAGTGGATTAAATGTGATGCCCAGGTCCTGTGCAGTCCTGGACTGTCCTGATAAATACAGCACATAGATCCTGCCTTTGGTGCATTAAAGCATACCAAATCCGGTTTGTGAGCAGAATATTCTTGAAGAAACATTAAGCGAGGTGTTATTTCCTGCAATCAAAGACTGAGCAAAAAAAAAAAAAATCTATCTTATCAATTTCCTTAAGTTTTCCAAAAAACAAATCCTCTCTTTGGAAGAATTTTGTCTTTGAGTTTGGTTTGAGTTAAATAAAATCAATATTGTTCATGTAAACATATTAGAATGATAGTGATGTGAAATATAATTTCTGGTTAGCTTTTAAGAAGAAGGGCTGTTTTTTATTAGTACCTAAGCTACATGTAAATTTAGAAGATCATGGGCATAAAAAGAAGTCCAAGCCAATCTCTCCAGGCAGTTTTGTTTTCTGTTGTTAGTTCACATTGCATAATGAAAAGATGGCAAATTCTAAAGAACTTAGGAATTTCTTTATAATAACTATTTATAACAATATATATTAGACCTGTAGGTGATCACTGCTATTCCTGTTTCCCAGACAAGATTCCCATTTTTCTTTTCCTTGGAAGTTACCATTGCAGGTTTGCAGTGAGAAGGAAGCAACAGCTCTCAGTGGTTGAATATGAACTAATGCCTTCTTGCATTCTGAAATGGCATGCTCACCAGCCTAAGCTTACTCACTCCTTGTGCATATTTTTACTAATCTAAAAATCACTGCCTAACACAAGCCAATGCAAGAGGGAAGTAAACATGAAACAGCTAACCCAATACTTTCTGTAGTGGCATCTGGCCAAGTGGAAGCCGTGGAATCTTGTTTTAAACACACAATCCTAATGCAAATTTCCTTGAGTGTTATTAGTCACAAAACACCTATGGAGTTCTAATTTTGAAAATCGATAACCCAATTATAAGATTTAGAACTCGACAGAACCTATGGGGAGGGGTGAGGATAAATGGTTTGGTTTGGGTTGGCTTTATTTTTGAAGGGAGAGGTCTTGGGCATTAGGGGACAGAGGCCCTACCCTGGGCGGTTTTTTGTTTTGTTTTGTTTTTGTTTCAAGTTTTTATTTAAATTTTAGTTAGTTAACATATAGTGTAATATTGATTTCAGGAGTAGAATTTAATGATTTGTTACTTATATATAACACCTGGTGCTCATCACATCAAGTGCCCTCCTTAATACCCATTACCCATTTAGCCCATCCCCCTCCTACCTCCTCTCCATCAACCCTCAGTTTGTTTCTCTACAGTTAAGAGTCTGTTATGGTTTGCCTCCCTCTCTTTTTTTTCCCCTTTCCCTATGTTCATCTGTTTTGTTTCTTAAATTCCACATGAGTTAAATCATATGGTATTTGTCTTTCTCTGACTGACTTATTTCCCTTAGCATAATACACTCTAGCTCCATCCACGTCATTGCAAATGGCAAGATTTCATTCTTTTAGATGGCTGAGTAATGTTTCATTGTTTATATACCACATCTTCTTTATCCATTCATCAGTCAATGAACATCTGGGCTCTTTCCATAATTTGGTTATTGTTGACAATGTTGCTGTAAACATCTGGGTACATGTGTCCCTTCGAATCAGTGTTTTTGTATCCTTTGCATAAATACCTAGTAGTACAATTGCTGGATCATAAGGTAGCTCTATTTTTAACCTTTTGAGGAACCTCTATACTATTTTCCACAGTGGCTGCACCAGTTTGCATTCCCACCAACAGTTTGAGAGTGTTCCTCTTTCTCCACATCCTCACCAACATCCGTGGTTTCCTGTATTGTTAATTTTAGCCATTCTGACAGGTATGAGATGATATCTCATTGTAGTTTTGATTTGTATTTCCCTGATGATGAGTGATATTGAGCATCTTTTCATGTGTCTATTAGCCATCTAAATGTCTTCTTTGGAAAAATGTCTGTTCATGTCTTCTGCCCATTTCTTAACTAGATTATTTTGGGGGGTGTTGAGTTTGATAAGTTCTTTATAGATTTGGATACTAGCCCTTTATCAGATATGTTGTTTTCAAATATCTTCTCCCATCCTGAAGGTTTTCCTTTAATTTTATTGATTGTTTCACCCTGGGTCGTTTTGGACGATATTTCTGTTTCTACTCCCACTATTGTTTACATCCACAAAATATATGTTTGATAGTTTCCAAAACCCTTTCATATCCATTTTCTCCTTTAATCCTTAGAAGAGCTCTATAAATCTTTTCAAAATCTATGCAGTTATAATGATTTTAGAAACTGAAAATCAATAAAAAACATGACACTTTAAAAAAAAAAAGTCAACTGTTTTCTGGTCATTTAGGCAGTTCCTTTCCTGTTCACAAATTCTGGATATCTATCCTGAAATGGAGTGAAGTTAAACAGAGACTGAAAGAAAAACAAAACAAAGATCCCCCTCAAATTTCTCAAAAATTTGCCTTAAAATAGGAGAAGATGTATTTAGAAAGCCCAAAAAGAAAATGTCCTGAAGTTGCAGGAGTCTGGCCAAAACGTTGATCCCAAGGCAGAGGAACCTGTGCCTGGTTTCTCAGGGGGCTGGCCTCGTCAGCGGGAAGAACTGAGGCTGCTGCTGGGTGTTTTAGGAATTCTTCTTATGTATCTCCTCAGGCTGGTCACCAAGGCTAGAAATTCCTTTCACAGGATACCAGTACTAGGACAGCTAGACATGGTGACATGCAAATTCTCTGGGAGGGGCAATACATTGACTTCAGTTCGATTTCCTGGGATCAACTGCTGCCACGAAGGAGTGGGAATGAGCAGCCTGAAGAGGACCCAGTAGGGACAAGAGGCAAGTGCAGATTGAGGCCCCAAAGACAAATTTGCCTACTGTGGTCATGACAAAGTCTAGCACTGAAGATTGCAGGGAATTTGCAGGGAGCTGGTGGGAGCACAATGCTAAATGAGTACAGACAATAATTCAGGTGTGCAAACTTTCTAATGATAATAATAGTAATATAAATCTGGATGTTAAGTGCACAATCCCCAGATAAAAATTTTTATTGTCCAGTGTCGATGGCCTTGGATAGTTCCTTGTTGTGGGGGTTGGCCTGTGCACAAAAGGATTCTAGCAGCATCCTTGGCTTCTACCCTAGAGATGATAGTAGCACCTTCCACCCTCCTATTGTGACAACCAGGAATGGCTTCAGATATTTCCAAACGTTCCCTGGGGTTTAAAACCATCCCCAGTGAGGACCACAGCACTAAACCCCTCTGTGGTTCAGTTTCCCAGACTATGCAGTAAACATAACCCTCCTTCTCATCTGCACAGAGGATCTGTCTTCTTACCTCATTCAAAACCTGCTGGTTTTCAGGGTACCTAGGTGGCTCAGTCGGTTAAGCTTCTGCCTTCAGCTCAGGCCATGATTCTGGAATCCTGGGATCAAGCTCCACATTGGGCTCCCTGCTTGGCGGGGAGTCTGCTTCTCCCTCTCCCTCTGCACCTCCCCCCGCCCCGCCACCCCTTCCCACCCCGCCGCTCATGCTCTCTCTCGCTCACTCTCTTTCTCAAATAAATAAATAAAATCTTAAAAAAAAAAACAAACAACAACACCTGCTGGTTTTCATTTCTCTACTGAAGCAAAAATGGAGGCAGCATCATATGGGAAGAGCTCTGGCCCATGTCAGATCAGATCCCTCAGCTCTGACTCTACCGCTAACTTACTGTGTGACTCAGGACAAATCACTCAACCTCTCCAGGACTCACTTCATCCTTAAAATAAAATTTTGTCTCTCTGCTCGAACCACATTTGTTATTCCCAGTGGTAGCACATATATCTTTTTATTCTTCAAACCAATGTTCTTCTTTCTTCTGTTTTTTCCTTTATAAATCCAGTATCTTATTTTGTCCTCATTTTGAGTTGCTGTTCCTTCACTTTGATGTGAAAACCGGAAAAGTTTATGAAAATCTGGACAGCCTTGGGCTATTGGATTTTCCCAAGAGAAAGAAGGTCTAAAAATCCTGTAATCTCATTGTTGGGATATTGGGTCTGAGATGTTATAACCTTATATAAGCTGACTTTTATTTAGGCTCTTCTAAATACTGAGTGGTGCATTTTACCAAAGCCACACTACAGACTGATTTAAGAGAGAAAAATTTTAAATAGAGGAAATCAGAAAAAAGAAGAAACTTGCCCAAAGTTGTACTTTCTCCTTTAAATTACATTGCTTGATTGTTGTTTTCTTTCTACCTCATATATGATGGGACAGT